CAAAGTCATTCATTAACAGCCTAAAAGATTATTCGGTATCCAGACAAGAATGAACGTCCAGGTGATGGGAGTCAAAAAGTTGTGGATGTCTGAGGGGCTGATTCAAGTTCAAAGAAACTGAGCTGTGTACAGATGATGCAACCCATCTCTAGCCCTGTATGCCAGGAAGACATTATCTGTGGTTGCAGGAATACCCCTAGCTAAAATCATTGTCTCCTCTGCTCTGCAGACAATAAACCAAATTGAGCAGAGGAAGCCCTTGAATGTGGTGGTATTGCTTGCAATGGCCCTCAGTGCTTACAGGGCTGGAACAAAACCCAACAGAGCAATTCCTTCTGCACAGCACTCCTCCTTTCTCTTGTGAAATGCTTTTCCTTCAAACAAATTAGAAGAAAAAAAGGAAACTCTTGGAGAATAAATAAATAGATTGTAAAAAAGAAATAAGATGTGCATCATAGCTTCAGCACAGTGTTGTCCTTTATGGGCACAAGCTGGAAGACAGTTACAAGTGACTGGTTCCGTCTAGACACTGGGCAGCACTGCTGTACTGTGCCAGTGCCAGAGTCCTGACACAGGGACCAGAGAGGTTGTGGGATCTCCTCTTTAGAAACATCCAAACCCACATGGATGTGGCCCTGGGCACCCTGCTCTAGGTAAGGTAGAAGAGTGGGGGGGGCCAGAGGGACTCCAGAGGTTTGGGACTTCAAACCACTCACAGCATCCTGTAACTTCCTGTGTTTCCAGTCCAGACTATCCACTCTCCTTCCTTGCTAGACACATGAATTTACACAAGATACACATCTCTTGTCAGAGATGCTCAGCCACTAAAAACCTGAAGTCAACTCTTCTGATGCAAACTTTCAGTTCTCATTGCTGAGCACTTGGTACCCACTTCCACACAAATCTGCTTTTCCCATCTTCTCTCCCTATCTTAAGCTTGATCTTTCCCCCATACTCAACTACAGCACTGGGATTTTTGGCTTCGATTCGCCCCCTCGTGGACTCACCTGAAAAGAGGTGCCCATAAACACCTATTTATACCATGGGACTGCAGATGCAGAGCCAGCCCCATGGGCTGCTTCTCTTCTCTAAGCTTTTGGGTTCTTTGGGAAATGGGGATGGGGCGAGACACCACAGCCTAAACCAAAGCACCCACAAGGGTGCAAGAGGTGAGGGCTATCAGCCATTACCATCCATATTTCATCAGTAACACCACCTCACAGTAAAAATATCCTCCACCACCTCAGTTCTGTTAGTGGGGAAGCAGGGGCTGTGCTAATCCAGAAAGCAGCCATACCTCAGAGATGAGAGACAGAAGAAATGCAGCAACCCCACGTGTGCTCTCAGCCACAGAATATCCTTAAAGCAGCACGGTGGAAAACTTTGCTTCTCGGGCAAGGCCTGCACAAGTTGCCAGCTGGAAAGCATATGATGTTACCTTGGAGCTCAGAAGAGGATGAATGAGTTGAATTAGTCGTAAATCACGGGGCCTATGCTGTGCATGCGAGAGGGCTTTGAAAGAAAGCAAGGGAGCACGTTACAAAAACACCAGTACAGGATCAGATTCACTGCTTGCTTTAAATAGTAGTTGAAAGTATAAAGCGTGGGGAAAAAGAAAGCATTGAAAAAGAAAGCACTTCAGTGAACTGAAGTGATGAAAAAGCTGGAAGGGAGGAAGAGAAGGGAGATGGGTCTGGTTTTATTAGTAGCATAGTCCCTAATTATTCAGGATATGTAGTTTTATATGTTCGTGCTCAAAAAAAACCAAACCTTATATGAAGTAATTCAGGTGTTTCCATAATCACTCATCTCACAACCTGCTCTGAAAAAAAATAGCTCTGCTTAATGTCGTCTTCCATTGAAGCTGGCCCATTGGAGCCATGCCTGCACAACAGGGCACAGCTGAAGGAAGCAGCTGCCATTGCTGTGCACTAATCCCAGCGGCTGAGGCAGATGCATTCCCTTTTTGATACATCAAAATACACCGTGGGAAGGTGGTAATTAATGCAAGCAGTATCTTTCTGGCGTGTTCATAAGGAGCAGTGATTGCCACTGCTGACATCCAGTGAAGCACAGAGCAGCAGCTGCATGCCTGTGCAATGCACTCTGCGTCCCTCACACCTCCACACTGCAAACATTCTGACAATCACTGCACTCTCCCTGCACAAACACTGAGCAGAGAAGCAACAAAGAGCATACGTGATTTTGTTCTCCAGCAAATTAAGCAGTACTTCCAAGCTACTAAAGTTAATTCTTCATGAAATCCAATTGATTTGACAGCAGTTCTTTAGCTCTGACCTCATTTTCTCTCTAATCAATTCCGAGTTATTATCTACTCGAGGAGAGAGGTTAGGACGACAGATGCTACTGTGCCACGACCACTGAAAAACAATGACACTGACCTTCACATTATCACAGAATCTTTCAGGCTGGAAAAGACCTCTCAAATCCCCAAGGCCAGCCCGACCCACCCCACCATGCTCACTGCCCACATCCCTCAGTGCCACATCCCCATGGTTCTGGAGCACCTCCAGGGACGGTGACCCCACCGCTCCATGGGCAGCTGTGCCACTGCATCACCGCTCTTTCTGAGAAGAAATGTTTCTTAACATCCAACCTGGACCTCCCCTGGAGGTAATAATGCCTCTAAAATCCACTGCTCTGAACTGATGGGTACTGCTTGACCAAATACAACTGCAGTTTTAATCACCTGTATTTTCTTGTATGTAATAATAAGTGCACGTTCTCATGTGCTACTCGCAGCGACAGACCTCTAGTAAAACAAAAAGATACTTTTAAAACCATTCTCATCTCCCTTAACATAAAAGAGAATAGGCATTGTAAAAAAATACCTTCTGGTACAGAAAACACAGGAGCTCAGTGTATCAGCCACTGAATCCAGACAATTGTTACAACAGCTCTGCAGACATCTCCCTTATGGAAGAAATGATTTTGCTGCACTGAAGACATCTGACTGCGGCCACATGTAGCAATGTACTCAGCATCAGAGATTCAGGAGCTCTGCTTTCCATTCAGACATTCCACAGCCTGGAGGCCTGATTTCCCTCATTTAGTCTCCAACACTTGCTGGAATTTCCAGGAAACGGGTATTTATGCAAACTGTGCCAGAGTTACTCCATACAAAGTATTTTCAATCATACTTTGGAAAGAACTGTGTGAAAACAGCAAAGAAAGAAAACTTTCCAGTCTACAACCCAGCAATACACCTGAATTTATGCAAGGACAAATGCCATTTTGTTGTCTCTATCAATAATCTTATTTAAATATTTATAAGCCACTCAGAGATGTTTTTAAGGAACCTTAAGCTACAAATGGGGCTGAACACAAGAGGGAATTCTAAACCTTTGTGAGGATGTACGTGCCTTGCTGGGGATCGGAGGCAATTACAAAATACAAATATATAACAAAAGTAATGCACTGGCACAGGCTGCCTAAGGAAGTGGTGGAGTCACCATAACTGAATGTGTTCAAGAAACATGTAGATGTGGCACTGAGAGGTATGGTTGGTGGGCATGGAGGGGGTGGATGGTTGGACTAGATGATCTTAGTGGTCTTTTCCAACCTTAATTATTCTATGGTTCTATGAAAAAAAAACAACCAGCTGCATGAGAGAGACCAGCTGGCATCCCACTAGATGGAGCTGTGGCCTTGAGAACACCAGCTAGAAATGTGATGAAGCCTGTCATTAACCCAAGATGCACGAAAACCACTTACAGAAGTTACATCTGTTTGCCTCACAACAGTGTGCAAAGCACAGGCCCTAAGGATGCACTGCATTTGTTGTCAGTGCAAGGACATCAGCAGCAAACTGATAGTAGGTAGATTATAAACCATGCTGAGGACAGCAACAGAGGGGATTCCTATTGAGAGAACAGCACCACTAGGAACAGAGAATCAACCTACTTTGTAAATGATGCAAACACTTGCTTTGAAATAAAAAAGGCAGATAACTTGTTTGAAATACAACTTCCCAGCTTCAGGGCTTTGGAGCTTTAGAGTGGCTAATGGAGCAGGGAAGGTAGGTGGCATATTTTAACTTGCTTTTGCTGAGTTATTTGTGACCACTACGCACATCTGCAAAGCACACAACTTCAACAGAAATCTCAAACGTTAATAAACGCGGATAAAATGAACATCCATTGCAAACATGTTAAAAAAACAAAAACAAAAACAAAACAGCTCTGCAAGGTGTTCTACCTTGTATCAGAGATGCTAGGAAGTGCTGCAGGCTTTCAGCACTCAACAGATCTTCGGGCACGTGCATTTTTCCACAGTGAGCAAACTCCATGCCCACTGTAATCTGGGTGAGTCTGGGCAGGTACTGGCACGTGGAACTTACCAGCAACGATGCTGGAGTTTCACTAAGAATTAGTATAAAAAAAGAAGAGAGTGCTTAGGAATGGCAGTCAAAGAAAGTTGTTGACTGACCTCACATTTATTCTCTGAAATGCATATTTCAACAGGGAAAGGAAAAAGCTGCTTATCCTGTTGTTTACCCATGAGTAATTATTTAATTTAGGTGACCTTGACAGCAAGATTACCTCTTTCACCTCTCAAGCCTCAAGAGCATCCAGAAATTTAGTTTTTATGTTAGAATAATGCCCAGTACCCTACTCAAAACCAGTTCTTACCAAACACACACCAGCAATCAGATTGTTAAAGAGGAGCCTGTTTTAAAGTGTCTCAGGGCAGCCAGATCTACAAAGCTTACAGACATCCCACCATCTGAGAGATGCTCTGTGAGCACAATTAATGCGATAGGCAAACACTGTTTCAGGCAGCATTCGAGTCATAATGAAAACCAAATAAGGAAAACAAGCTAACAGATGGAAGACAGGCAACACTGGAGAGCCAACATGATGCACATACCAAGTACTTTGCTTTGTGATGATTAAAACGAGGACATCCTTAAGGCAGATGTGCTGTTCACAAACAGAACGCTCCACAGGGAGATGCGAAATGAATCACTCACAAAAAAGTACTGTTGAAGTCTTTTAATAACACTAGGAAAATATCATAATATTAAAATCCTGCTCTCAGGGGGTTATTTCGGTTGGGATATCTGTGTTTATAAGCCAAACTTTTTACCCAGTTGTGTTTTACTTTAAACCAACTACTCCTTTACAATGGCATTTCCAGTTAAAACACAGCTAACCTATAAATACCTGAATACCACAGCACACACTGCGTGCGTGGGTTTTGTTTAAATCTTAGTGGAAATAATGGAAAATCTATTCAACACAGGGAAGCAAATGTCGATTTGTTAAGCGGGGAATGTAATAGCCAGTAAAGAGTACATTGCATATATAATACAGAAGGAAAAATTATCGTCTGGAGTATGTGAAATTACACGGATCTTTGCACCTTAAACCTATTAGAAGTTATTCTGTTGGCCAATACTAATCCGCTGAAGAAGCAGAACGTTGGTCAGAAGTCTAACGTTTCCTGTACCAGCACAGAGAGAATATAAGCAGTCCAACGCTGTTAAAAGAAAACATGAAATCCAGCTCATGTTTCTGGTTAGGGATCAATTTCTTCAGGAATTACTGTTAACATAACATCTTCGTTACCCCTGCGAACAACCATGTTCAAAGTACTGTCCTTTTTAATAATGTCACTGACATCAGAGGCTGAAGTTATCGACTGTCCATTGATGCTTATAATCACATCATTGTCCTTCAGGCCACCACTGAAAAGACAAAGGAACAAGGAATTACTATTATGGCCATTTCATTATCCTCGCTGTACTTTTGACCAAATCCAAAAGGCACTGGCTATTTCCAATTTCCCACCTGACAGCAGTTGGACAGAGACTCAGCAGGCCCCCAAAAAGCAAACAATTTACGTAGCGGCGCGCATCGCTTGGCAGCCATTCATCCTACCTTCCTATTTTAAACATACACAGATCTAACTCAGTCACCAGAAGCATCTGAGTGCCTATAGAAGCCAGACCCAACCACCAGACAGACACCAACCAAATGGGACCGGCCCAGCGTGGCTCCTCTGCCCAGGGCTGCCCAGACTGCTACTGGAACCAACAAACGGGGTGCTGAGGGATATCATCAACCACAGTGTCTTGCCTGGTCTTGCACAACAATCTGGCTCCAAGTCACGGAAATATTAACCAAGAAACCAGATCAGACATGATTCAGCCCTTCAGCATAATCCGTTTTTGCAAAACCACAGACCAGTCATAGGCCTCTTCCGCCCGCAGAAAATGCCTTACATGAGTGCCTCTTGTAAGCAGGTTGCCTCGGCCAACGTTGTCAGCCTGCTAACAAATCTGGTTGCCTACTTTTAATTGTGACTTTCAGCATTTTCCCCAGAAAATCCATCCCTGAGTGCCTCACACTGACTCAAATCCCACGTAAGTGCTGCAGACTCCCCTGAACATCTGTCCAAATGGAGCGTCTTGAGTTTGCCTTCAGACTACAAGGCTTTGCCACCTCACTGTTTTACTCTCTTACTCTCACCCTCTGCTAACTATTGTTATCACTGCAACATTTTTTATGCACCTTCAGTTTGGACCTGCACGTCAGGGCAGTTGGTACATTTCATTTGTAATGGAGCAAACAGCCAGCAGAAGTTTTGGTTCACGTTATAGACACACACTGGTATTCTGCATAATCAACCTTGCTAACAGGAATTATCTACAAAAAGCAGCAATAATTTAAAAATACAAGCTAGACAGCTAACGTTACATCTTGTATTGACAAAAAAGGGATCATCCAACCATCCCCCTGTGATAAAATATGGTGGCCCCAAGCAGCTTTCTGCCCACATCTTTGGTTCTACATTTGCTTCTCTGCTGCCACAAATTCTGTCTTTCTTAAATGACCTCCAGTTTCAGAAAATGGACAATGTTTCCTATTTCCTGCTCTGGATTACTGAGTGATTTCATATTAACCAAACTCCAGAAGGTAGGTGCTGCCAGCATGAGCCAGCCAGCCCAGTCCCACTGATTGGAAGCCTTCAGCAAGGCACCCCATGAAGCATGGCAACGAGCAACCTTTGAGGTTCTGAGCAGTGCTGAGTAACACTAGGAAAATATCAGTTGGCCAAACCCAAAAGCTCTTCCCAGCAGCGTGGCTCCTGGAAAGGCTTCACGGAGAGGAATGTTCCATGCCAAAAGAGGATCTCACCTCAAACAGAGGTGCACCAGGAGAGTCATTAGGTTTGCCATTAGCAAGCACAGAAGTGCCTGGGATAAGTCAGCCACATCCTTGCAAGGCAGGAGCAAAATCTCTCCCTTTGCCCTCACACAGCAGTGACCTGCAGGAGCCATCAGCTCCAACTCAGCCCTGTTATTGGGAGAGCAGAGGTTTTGGAATTGATAGCTAAGAAAAAAGAACAGTGAGCTTTCATGCTCCCTGACTCCTTGCCCTTTCAGCTGGGAACTCTGACAGGGCTTTGCAGCAACGTGCTGGCACATCTACATTATTGCTGATCAGGGAATGAACGAAAACCACAAACTGATTTCAAGCTGACAACCTAATAGCTATCAGATGGTCACAATCCTGTTCATTTAGCTTAACCAGGACAGCCAGCTAAGCATGGAACATTCTCTCCTTCAGACAGTGGCAGTGGTTTTGAGAAAAAAAGCACTCCAACTTACGCTTCAGCTGGTGTTTCTGGAATTACATCAATAACATAGGCCCCAGAGACAACGTCAGGAAAGTCTTTATGGCGATCTTTCAGCTCTCTAGCTTTGCTGGAAAATGAAGAAGCATCCATAAGAATATTATGCCAACAAGGGGGGGAGAAAACCATGGATTTTTATTCAGTTAACATTTGCCAGCTGGGATACTTTACACATTTTGATGTGACACCTCACAATTCATTTTAACCCTTAAAAGTATATCTAGAGTTATTACACTTTTCCATGCAAATGGCTTTTACTGCTCATTTCTGTCAGCAGAAAAGACCAGCTGTTTTAAAACTTGGACTTTAGTCCTAGAAGATTCAGAACACCTAAAAAAACTTTCAGTTTTCAGTGCTTTGTCATGCTGCTGATCCTTAGGCATACTGAAATGCAAACTGCCTGCTTGCTCTACTACAGAAAGTACTAGCAGTCCATATTCTGCAGCCTAGAACATACAACGTGTTTGTTGACCATTCCTATTAACGTAACTTGCTCTTTTCTGATTTGAGTTTGAAAAAGCAAGTCTACACAAAAGCTTCATTTCACATTAAGGTATCTTAAAATCATTTCACACAAATGAAGCTATGCAGGGAGCTCCTGTGATCCTCGACCACGGTGACAATGCAGGATAGATGGCAGCAATAGCAGTTGAGCCCCAACACAAATTAACAATTGCTGCATCTTCTCTTCTGAAGTGCTAAGGGAAAAAAATCAAAAGGCAGGGAGTTGCTGGACAGCAGTTCATACAAGAGCCCATAGAAGAGTCCAACTGTGTAATGGACGCAGCAACAGAAGGGAATAGGAACTGGGAGGGTTGGCACCAGCACTCTTCTGTCCCTTCCTGTAAATTGTTAGCTTGATCCAAACACATGTGAAATGACCACAGTTCAGCAGGATAAAAACCATTTTTCTAGTTTTACTTACCTAGGAGTTAGTGACATCATTCGTATGCCAATGTATTTCTTTTTGGTTATAGCCTTTCCTACAAAAAGTAAAACAGGTCTTCATCAATTTCTCTTATCAAAAAGAGAGCCTTGGGGGCTGTTGGCTCTCTGTTGGATCACCAGTATTATATCTATCTCTTTAACAGTAGTGCAGTACATTACCTTTAGCTTGCCTGTCATGGGATTCAGTTAGGAATTTCTTAATTTTATCAGATGGAATAGCAAATGAGATCCCAGCCGTAACTTTCAGTGTGTTAATTCCAATGACTTCACCATCCTGGGGAAATTAGGAATTGTTGTTAGCAAAGGTGAAACGTACATCTCAAAGTGATAGGGATTATTTCTTCTGAGCAATCACAAAGACAAAGGTGCAAAACAATTCTGTAGCTGGTCTTCAGTCTTCTGAAGTTCCTTTTCATGGAATCATAGAATTGCTCAGGTTGGAAAAGACTCTGAAGACGATCAATTCTACCCACAGTTTCATCCCATTTCTCTGAATCACCTACTGATATGAAAAGTATTCTACAAATTTTGGAAAACCAAAAGCTCTTCCCGGCAGCGTGGCTCCTGGAAAAGCTCTCAAATGGAAGAGCATTCCATGCCAAGAGGATTTCACCCCGAGCTCTGTACCAGCAGAGCCAGTGGGTTTCCCATTAGCAAGCACTGACGTGCTGGGGCTGAGACAGAAAAAGGCTCTGGATTGAAACAGCTAACTATCCAACCACAACTTTTAAATGGCAGGTTACTAGTGCTGCAGTTTTTTTGCAAGTCAAGTAGAAAAAAGTTGCCAAGTTTCCAACGCAGAACCTCTGAGAAGCATTTTCTCCCCGTCTGGGGCTGACAGAGCTCCTGCATGGCCAGCTGGTTATGCACCAAGTGCAAACACCTCACATTTAAAATGCACTTATTACTTTTCTTGCAAAGTACAGGCAAATTACTTGGGCATTACAAGTACCCCAAACTATGCAAAGTGTAAACACCTAAATAGTGAAATCGTGGTGCAGTTTGTGATTTGACAACAAAAACACAGACAAGTGATTAGTAAGTGCCATGTGAATTTTGTGTAGTCAGGCAAATATCAAAAGCTCTGAATCACACTTGCGGTGCACTTGTTTTTGTTTTTGGACCAGAAAGTAACAGGTTTCACACTAAGCCAACAAAAACTCTTACCAGGTTTACTAAAGGTCCTCCGGAGTTTCCATACTGCAAACAAACATGGAAAGAGCAGATTTAATATCCACCTTTTAATTCACGGCTCAAGGAATTTTTGAAATGCTTTTGTAGCAATTTTTTCCATTTGCTATTAAAGATATGCAATTTACAAATCCAAACTGTTGCTTAACATGCTCTTAACATCCCCCCTTTTTTGGAAACACTTCAATCCTCCTTCTCTTGCCAGGGTAACCTATGGAAGCTGGGGCTTCTCATTGGTTTTAATAGTAGCGCACTAGCAGCATAGAAGACTGTAATACAGCTTGGGAGCTGCAAGCAAAGACCTCCTACAAGGCCAACAGTAGACAAAAACTATTGTTTTGCCTTAATGCTGAAACAAACTTGAGTCCTTAAGCTAAGCGTGGCTGCTTTCTAGAAAGCATGGCAGATTTTGAGCAGATACTTATTCGGCAGAGAATGCTGCCTCCTCCCTTGCAAGCGGTAGGAAGCCGAAGGGAAGGCAGCCATTAGACTTGGTGTGGTCCCTTTGGGATTTGGTTTAATAACAATCAGGCACTGCTGCACTGCAGATGTCCACATTTGCGAGGATGAAAGAAAAGCCAGCTCTGCTCACTGTACTTAAGGACTGCATTACTGGAGGAACTTTCAAAGCAACTATTCCAGAAATCTGAGAGCCCAAGGGGCCGAAGCTCGAGGCAGGACCTACATTGATGATGGCATCTGTCTGAATGTAGTCCATATCGGAGTTGCGGAGCCCCAGCTCCTTCCCTCCGCGCTGCGTGGTGCTGACAATCCCTGTTGTCACCGTGTTTTGGAGCGAAAATGGACTTCCAATGGCAACCACAAACTCTCCAGGCCTCAAGTCTCCAGACTGACCAAGCAGAAGGACTGGCAATTTACCCTACAAATGGAAATAAGAAGAAAAGAAACATTCATACGTCGTTAGGACATTACTATGCAGGCAGAACAGAACTGTTCTTTAATGGAGTAGAAGAAAAAACACTTGAAGGGTGCTTTTGCCACAACAGGTACCCATTAAATCAAAACCAAATGAAGACCAAAGGAATATTTGTGTACTGCTGTACAAAGCAAACATTTGTTGATACCAGGAAGGAGTTGTTCCCAGCAGCTTCTTGAAGTAATTAGCCAACAGCTGTTGATGTAAAAATAATATATTCCTTAAGAGTGAATTCTAAAGGGAGTCATGAAAGCAACAGCCAGAGTGTATCAAACAAACATGTGTGTAGTTAAAAGCACTTCATATTCCCCTAAGACATGAGCTAACGTTTCATCTATTGTTCAGTAGACAACTGGATTGCCTCCCACATATATAGGTGTCCTCTGAAGATGTGAGGATTTAAAGACTTCCGAGTGTTTTTATGACAGTAAGGGATGCCGTTCTTTCCTTTCAAGATCTTATCTCTAAACATAAACTATCACATCATTAAACTTTTTCCCCCCCCCCAAGACAGAAAACATTCCTAAACCCAGCATCAACACAGAGCGCCGCAATTTACAGCAATTAAAAAAGAAACGAATTAAAAAGCAATGGTTGGACCCAACACCCTTGGCAAGGCGGCAGATAAACTCAGCATCGTTTCTCCAGGCCATCTGAAGAGGACATACAGCAGATGGTTCAAACAAGACCAGTAATGTCCCGGTGTCCCTTGAGAGCTGCTGATAATGGCAGGGAAGTCCCCCAGGCCTCCTGCTCACAGAGTAATTAAGGGCATTCTGAACGTGTTTCAAAGAAATGCTTTGCACTGATGTATCATCCGCTTGCACAACACTGCCTTGGGTTTGCTTCATGTTTTTAAAAGTCAGTCTACACTCTTTTAACGATGTTACATGTTTGTAACTCTTTCATGCTTAACCCTTTGTCTAAAGGATCCTGACCATTTCCAGGTACTTAACCGCGGCACCAGATCGTTTCCATCATTATCAGTGGATTAGGACATGCATCACTTGAGGCTTCAGTTTAAGCATCCTGCAGGAATAGAAAGGTACTGGACCCTAAAAGAAAACAGGAATCCCCCAAGACAGATCTTTTGCTTGGTAAACCTGAAGACAGGTTTCCTCCATGCCCATCCAACTGAAAAATCCTTTCCTTTGCACAACAAGCTCAGCCTCCCCCTTTCCTCCCCCCAAAAAAAGGCATTAATACAAACTTCCAAAATAGGTGACTAATTCCAGATGCAGTGGATGCCCCATCTATGGATGAACTTAAACCAGTTTCGAAGAAATGGGTAGCATATGCAGTTTTAATATAAAAGGTATCTTTAAGGTATTCCTGAGCTTTGTCCCTAAAATGAAGGTACGAATTGGCTTAATAATCACTCTTGCTGCCATTGATCTCTTACTGGAAGCCAGCAGAGGTTGTCTTTTTAGCCTGTATTTATCCCAAAGCATGCGACTTACATGCCTAAAGTAGAGGGGTTTATAAAAGCAGACTGTGTGCTTACAGAGCAAAAAGGCAAGGCAGCATTTAGTATGTCCTGATTATTTGTAGATAGCCCAAGGTAGTGATAACTTTTCTTTAGAAGTCAATAAAAGCTGAATCACAGCTATACTTTGACAAAAGAGAAAATATTACACATTTGATTTGGAAAACAAGAGCTAGCTCGTTAGTCAATTTTTGTCATCAGCAGCTTGAAAGACTGTACCAATAAATCACCCACAGGGACAAAAATCCACTGAGCAAAACTGAATCAAACACACATCGCTTTGTATTTGTCACCTCTGGTTTCAACATCAAGTGTCCCAGGAGATGCAGTGTCCAAAAGTAAAAACAGGAGACAGCAGTTGTGTCCCTATGTGCTGCCACAAAAAGACAGGAGTCACAGCTCCGAGATTCAACCAGCTTCATTCTTAGGATCCTTTATCCAACTGCGTTACAATTCCACCAGCACCACTATGCTCAGATGAACATATTGTTTTAATAAAGCCCATTGCCAAACCCCAGACAAGATCAGATGCTCTATGGAAACTCCATCTCTCGGTCTCAAGATGACAAGAAATAATTAGCCAACTGCTTGTTAAACAGAATGACTTGGAAGAGCAACAGAACAGGCAATGCAATAAAGGAGAGAGAGAGAGAGAGAGAGAGAGAGAGAGAGCAATCCCAAGCTTGCAACCAAGCAGCACCATCCCAGGTCAGCTGTGCTGAGCAGTTCATAACCTCACAGCCCTGACTCCCCTAGCACAGGACAGCAGCAGCACGAGCTGTGCTGGAAGCACACAGCTCCATATGGGTATTGTTTGCACAGAGGGAGCACCCTGGCCCTTCCTTGCCTCCAGATGCTATTAAGCTGACGTAGCACGTGTTTCCAAGATGCCGTTGATCCAGAAGCGCATCTCTTTCTGGCACTGCTTTGCAAACAAAAAAAGACATGTGGCCAATGCACGGAAAGCAGATGCTTTATAAAGAAGGAGGGCATTTGATCAGTAAATAAAACAGACAAGGGACTATGAAGGAAAATCTTTCATTAACAGAGACACCTGATTGGTCGCACGCAGAGTTAAGACTTAGACAATCTTTCTCAGTCACAAAAACAGTCAGAAAGCCAAAATTTTGGCAGCAGAAAGGCAAAACACGGAGCAGTCTCTGACTAACAGAGTTATTTCTTATTGTGCTGAGTTTTCAAGCCTGTGCCTATACTAGTCGGGCCTCAGTTCAAAGCCCAGCGCTGCACGGATTGGCGTGGGCCATCTGTGTGATTCAGCACGCCTTCTGGAAAGAGTTAGGGCTAACCTTTCGTCTGCTAGCAGCAAAAACCTACTGCAAAAACTGCCTTGCTCTGCACATTGTGACATTCAGCTGTGGAAAATGTGCCCTCTGTGCAGCACATTTCTAGAGGCGACGTCGCCTAATGTAAAAATGCATTATGCCAAGTTAACTGTGAGTGACATTAACGCATTGGTTTGCCATACTGTGTTCATCAACGCAACAGAACTGTTTCCTGTTTTATAGCCCCATGCCAACACACCAAAAGAACGAGGAGGATGCTGAGCACACTTCATAAAGAGCTACAGGACCCATGCTAAAAGCAAGACAGAGGGACTCACACAGGTTTTCACAGAACCATAGAATCGTGAAGGCTGGAAATGACTTCTCAGATCTCTGAGCCCAACTTCAACCACCCCCACCATGCCCACTGCCCACATCCCTCAGTGCCACATCCCCACAGCTCTGGAACACCTCTGGGGATGGTGACCCCTCTGCTCCCTGTGCAGCTGTACCACTGCATCACTGCTCTTTCTGAGAAGAGATTTTTCCTAACATCCAACCCGAACGTCCCTTGGCACAACTGGAAGCCATCACCTGTCCTTCCAAACATCATCTTATCGTGTTCTCTGCAAAATTAACAGCACTGCATGTAAATATTCCCATCAGCACCTCTGTAGGTACATGTCAGGGAGAACTGGTTACGACGAATATATCTACATGTATATATTTCCAATGGTTTTAAATTGGTGAGCTTGCTCCCTAACAGCATGATGCAGCTGCAAATCATAATTGTCTTCACTCAGCTACGGATTTGCCACAGCAGTTAATTAAAAACATAGGCTAACCAGCATACCCTGCAGTGCTTGAACACAGAGGCAGAAGCACCCAGCACCTAAACCCAGCTTTCCCAGTGACTCACTCCATGACCTTGGGCAACACATAACTTGCTTGCTCTCCCTCCATCTTTCATTAGATTAACCCTCAGGCACCTGCTGATCGGCACTGACTCAACCAGGCAAATCTGCAAGCGCACAGAAATAGGACTAAACATGCAAACCCATAAGTGGCACATGACTCACTGTTTACACCCAGCCGGAGAGGGAGCCATTAATTAGCGCTAATATTTTAAGCCTCTCTCATCCCAAAGTGCTCCACACATTTTAATATAGGGTTTTGACTCAAGCCTTGGGTAAACAGAACTCCCACGAGATGTGGCTTCACCCAGCACCAAAATGCAGCCATTGCATGTGCTGAAGGGCAAAACACACAGCCAGATGTTCACCAGGGACAGCAGCAGAGCTGGATTTGGGCAGAGGACAGCCACCAGTAGTGTCAGTCATCAGTGAGTGTTGGGTTGGAAGCTTTCCATCCACAAAACGTGTGAACCTGCCTCTACATTGGCACTGAACAAAAGCAAATCCCATCTCTGCACAACCATCTCCTTCCACCAGGGATCTGAACAGTTCACAGTTCAATAAAGCAGTGAAGAGGAGACAAAAGTTTTGGGCTCTATTTCCATTAAGTGACAGATTGCCTCCATGCTTTCCATGTTTAGGTAGAAAAGCAGATGTTTGTTGTGGTGCTCTAATTCAGCTGTAAGCAACCCTGGCAAAGCACGCGGCTTCACTGGGAACTGTATTCTGCTCTCATTAACAGAACTATTTAACTTTCAGAATACGTTATGGCAAAACAAAAACACAGGCCGTGAGCTTATGAAAATGTGGAGTGTCATCTACGATCTTGGAGCTATTTGACCCAATGCCAAAGAAAACGAAAAACCCCAACTGAACACATTACAAGTCTCCAAAAGTATTTCATCGACAGTTAGAAAAACAAAACTGAGTTTCCTTATCTAAATATGGAGCATGGGAAGCTTGCAGGAAAAAAAGGCCAAACGCTGTCTTGCCATGTCTCTGGGACTTCAATGGCCTGGCAAGGCACTGCTGCTCTCCCTTGAAATAAGATGTAGTAAGGATGAAAGCTCTGTCCCTTGCAAAGGCTGTTCTCAACATGTGGGGAAGGAAGCACGTATGACAACATCCTCTGCTCTTAAGATGGAAATAATAAAAATAAAATTAAAAAAAGCTTTTTCAGGGATAAGAGAGGGGCACAGGGCAGACAACCACCCCCATGCTGCCACCCAGTCCAACGAGCACCTGGAGCTCACACCCAAGCCTTTCCCATGCTGTCCCATTTCCACAGGTTCTGCGACGAAGATGAAGGCTTCCTTGTGGGAGACTCGGGAGGAAGCAATGCAATATCCAGTGACAGATTTCCAAGTCAAAATGAATTGGAGAAAAGCCACTGACATCTGGAATTCAAGTAGTTTGGTTTCTAAAAATGCAAGCTATTAGAATACTGATACGTAAACAGGAACGCTTGCTTCCCAGCTTCCTGCAGTGTGTACACACAGGGAGAGAGGCAAATCCCCTCTGACCACAGCCATACAGAGCCTGCATTGCCTCACGAAACCACCAAAGCAGTGAGGGCAGGAGGTCCTGTTGACTTAAGAGCGCTGAACTGAGTGGCTGTTAGTACAATGTTGGAAGGAAGCACGAGCAAAGAGCTGAAACACGACCGCAAAGCAGAGGTGCAACACCAACCCGCTGCTGCTGTGTCGCTTGGGTGCCAAACCCTTTCTAGGAATACAGAAGCACGCAGGTCTGCTTGCACTGAGAAACGAAAGCCTTCACACCTTGGCAGTCAGTGGCGAATGCCTCAGGGCTGCTTTTTAATTGTGCAGAAAGAAGATATGCCCTGAAAGAGCCATTTGTAGGGACCAACCCATGGGCAGAGGCAAATCCGCAGGGTGAAACAGGTCCCCATTTGGAAGGATAGTTCCCACAACTGTAAGCCACATCACCTTCAGGTTTAACACAGCTGTCCCCAACATGCTGCCTACTTTCAAGATTTCAGCAAATCGCTGTGGTTTTCAATGGACACAAGAAATCATAGGATGGCTTTGGTCAAAAGGGACCTTAAAGATCATTGAGCTCTAGTCCACCCCTGCCATGAGATGGCTGCCTCCAGAACCATCCAACCTGGCTGTGGGTACCTCCAGGGATACCACTTCTCCTTTTATAGACTGTGAAAATAAACCTCTTTGAGAATTGGAAGAACAATCCCAGCATTTCTGTTCCTCGCTGACTTTGGTATGTTTTTAAATGAGAATTTCATCAGGGAAACTGTTTACTCTTGCTGGTGCCTAGATTTCACCGTCCTCTTTAACTCCCTACTCCACTGAACAAAACCAAATAACTTTTAGAGATGTCCTTGGCCAGATGTTCACAGCTTAAAGAAAAATACAGTGCAAGCTGCTGCAAAATCTTAACAGCTTTAGGAACACCAGCTAACAGTCTCAACTCATACTTCAGGCTCTTCCTAACCACAGAGGCATTCTTCAGCCTTCAGATCCTGCCTTAACACGCCACAGAAAAAATAGAAAAAATAAAATGACATCGTTGATGTCACCTTCAAATAACATGTTCAAAAGAGACTTTGCCTCTCACTTCACAAACATTGTTGGGGATGGCTTTCATGCTGCATCTAGCTTTGTAAGGGGTTATTTGTACTGTCACACTGACTTCCTCAGTTATCAAATAAATCAGAACTCAAGAGCTCCTCAGATGAAACAGGCAGGGCCAATGGGGGAGCAGCACACCTGGTGGAGTTGTACAAAGGATAGGGTGCTTACTGAGCACACAGCAAACTACAGCTATCAAGTTATGTTCTGCCCAATTTAGAGCAGAGTCCTGCTGCCCAAATGAGTGTGCCCAGTTGCCATCACACAAGTAAGGCAGCAGAGCCCACTCGCTTCCTTCTGCAGCAGCTCTGCCTCCAGGCATCAGCTATTCCCAACGATCCTTTCCATCATAGATAGCAATGATAGCAATGTCAACGTGTCAACACATCAAGAAATCTCCTGCTGAGGTAGTGTTGGGTGGTTCCAAGACAAAAAATGTTCCCCAAGAGAATCTGCAAACATGAGTGAGCTGGGTTGCAATGCTCACAATCTGAAGCACGCACTGTGCTGGCAGCTTCAGAAGCCAATACATCAAGCCAAAAACACCATCTTGTATCCTCAGCTAGCATGCTGCATTCAGAGAATTCTGTATAAATAATACCTCTAAAAGACACTGCTTGTCAGATCAGAATCATCTATTTTTGTCTGTTCTGTGGCTGAACGCTGAAAGAGGATTATACCTTGGAATGATAAACACATGCAGAATGACCTGAGGTGCCATTCTCAAAGGAAGGACACGCTTATGCCCAAAAGCTCAAGTGATGGAATAAGACTGTGATCGGCACTTCATTACATACCTGCAGAATTCTTTAAAAAAAGAAAAAAAAGAAAAAAAAAGAGATGAATATCTGTCATCTTGAAGCCCAACCAGAATCACCAGTTCAATCCTGCTTAGCAGCGCTTTCCACTATCGGCGTGAAATCTGCCTGCCTTCCCTTTTTTCCAAGCCACTTTCCAGGCTGCAGGCGCCCGGCTCTCCCTGGGGCTGTGCTCACTGCTGCTCTGCAAGAGCTTCCCTGGGTCCTTAAGCGCTCGCTGTTTGCACAAGTGAGGCCTATTAGTTTTTAATAAATGCACTCAGGCTCTTCCATCAGGCACTGCAGTGCCAGGGAAATTTTGGAGCGATTTTTTCAGGGTGTCAGATAACACAAAACTCAATGCCTGCTCCCTCCTCATGGCCTCAAAACAATGTGTTGCATCAGCTCAGTGCCTCCTCCCCCTCTATCTCTGAGTTACCAGCTACTCCCTTCTCTGCAGCCCGCTTTTCATATTATTTCTTTAATCCTCAGCAAAGCAGGAAAATATTTTGGGGATAATTTTTTTTTGGCCACGTTGTTGATAAGAAGGTTTTAAATAAGAAAAACCTGACAGAGCCTTTAAACAACAAAGGTGGCGAGGGAGCAGCCCTTGGGTCATCCAAGAGTTCTGCATCAGGCATCTGATTTAGTCACAAACTCTGGAACAAACACTTCTGCCTCGCTGGGGAATAGCTCTGAACTAAAACAACCCTGCAAGGTCTACTGAGTCACGTGCTTCAAACAACAGATGACTGCCCGTCAGCTTTGGAGGTCGTTAAGCAGAAGCCCAAAGAAGGGAAACCAATATGAGCAGCACCTCAAGCCATCACATGCATCTGTGTTATGCAGAAGTGTTTCCACACAAGATTCCCCGTGCACTCCATATGCACAACCTCGTGACAACTGTTCTGCTATTGCAGGAGGCAGAGCAGCACTGAGAGCCACAAGTCTGACACTGCTCAAGACTGTGGGAGAGAGGTTCCATTCCAGCTTCTTTAGAAAACCACCTGCAGAGGAAGAACATCCTTCTACGTTGGCTTTAGCTTGAATGTTTGAGATACGTCCTACAGCAGTTCTGCATTTTGCTATCTACATCTGTGTGGTGCAGTCCTTCAGAGGCACAAACCTACCCTCCTAAGCCTACCTTCCTATCTCTGCCAACCGCAGGGGAGTCCTCCCACATCTCCTCTCAAAGCAGGAGAGCTGCACTGGCAAAGCACATGCAGATCAGCCAGCAAGCTGTGCTGCTGCTTGTTTTGAGGATGCACACTAAATGCTAGGTGCTTGTTTGCATGACACAGAGAGGTCCTAAGATAAACCATTGCCAAAGCCAAGGTTGTGTGTGGCTGAAGAAATGCACGCCCACCACGTTTGCTCCAAGATTAGTCAAAACTCAACACCAAACCATTGCTCTTTCCTTTAAATTAGCAACAGGACATCCTCTTTTCTGAAACAAAGAGGGATAAAATGCGCCTTGCTCACTGCCTTCACTCACCTGAGCATCTATTTTAATTAGTGCAATGTCAGCTTTCTCATCAACGTCTTTAATTTTAGCTTCGTATGTTTCCCCGTTCTTCAGCTCCACCTTCACCCTGTTCTTGTTGGTGACCACGTGTGCGTTGGTCACTATCAGCCCATCCTCTGAGACGATGAAGCCCGAGCCACTGGCAACAGGGATCTCCCTCTTGGAGTAAGGAAGTCTGGAAGACACAGGGAATAACAAACATTTATCTCTGCAAAAGCTTGCAGGACCACAAACAGTGCACAGCCAAAAGGAACATGGTAGATTTTGATGCTTTAAGGTATCTATTGTTACTTTCTGTCATTAATAAGGCAATGCACATGCATTAGTTTAAACTGGGGTGGGGTTTCTTATGCTAGTTTTTTTTTTGTTGTTGTTGTTGTTTTTTGCCAGGACTCTTAAGTTATTTCTAATGCTTCAGCATGACACATCTGTCAGCTCAGAACCCTCTTTGCTGCTGTCTCACAGTCAGCTGCTTGCAGGAATACAAAGTCAAGCTGGGCATGGTGTTTACTTGCGGAATAACTCGATGTGAACCACAGCAGGAGCGATCTTCTCCACCACATCTGCTATAAAGTTGTACTTGTGCCGCAGGCTATTAGGATGTTCTTGGCCTGAAATAGAAACAGAACACATGTCATGAGTTCTTCAAGTGACGGGAGAAGGATCATTGCAAAACACCTGAATTGAAAGCACTGTGTGGGTCTCTCTCCCTTCCTTCCAAGTCAGTTGCAGCACAACCCTTGCTCTGCAGTTTCCCTTCTGGCTTTTTGCACAGCAAGCTCTGCTGTTACAACAGAAAACCCTATGCAAACTTCTCATTTCCAGTGCATGCAGCTGGGCCATGGGGCTGCAGATCTGCTGCACTGGTGTCTGCGGGCTGCAGCACCCTGCATGGAGCAGCCCCTGCTCCAGCCCATAGGTGATAAGGCCCTAATCCCTATCCAAGCCTAAAGCTGGGAAAGGTTAAGGTGGGTACAAGGTTTGTGTTGCCTCCCAGTGAGTCTCAAAGCCCAGCCCTTCCCAGGCACAAAGACACAGAAGCTCCATGCATTGCCCTCAGTCCACCAGCCACATGGAGGAGCAGATCCCATGGACTTTAGAGCTACGGAAACACCCCTAAAGCTACAAAAATAGATACGCACATAGAAACAATGGGACCACAAAGCTTTGCATTCCTGGGCAGTATTGGAACACAAAAGCCCATGGTCACCGAGTATTCAAGAAACGTCACTGGGATTTCCAAAAGCAACTGGATGCTGAGCTCCTATTGTAGCCAACAGAAAACCTGTCTGCACCATCAGATGTCTAAAAAGCTCTGGAAAAAAACCAGACAGGTCTGACGCATCTCCCCCTTCTCACAGTTCAGAACTTATGTTAAACCAGGAGCAACTCAGCAGTCTGGCACCCTGAGGAGCACCAAATATCACATTTCCATAGAAGCAAGAGAGAACATCCCCTGTTGTCATCAGCACTCTCATTTTCTGTGACATACATGTAAAACACAAAGGTGATCTGTGTGACGTCCAGATGAGCATTACGTGCCACGCTGCACCGTCCACCCCTGCCATTTGGCTCCTAAATCTGCAGATTATAGCAGTAAGCAGCTTGGGGATGCTGCAGGTGCTCGTGACAGCTTAACAGGAGGATTTATTTGCAGAACCCTGGGAGACATGGGACTGTGCTCTGAAACCATCCTGTTTATCCATATCCAAACCACTTGCATTACCTGTTGATACCAAACCAGATAAATCTGAACATTTTTACCCAGGTGATGGAAAAAAAATGATCGGTTTCCAGAGGAATAACTTGGGAACGAATCATTGGTGCTCTTAACCAGATACTGGTTTGTTTCAGGGTGAAAACTAGGTTTCAGCTGACTCAGTAACACCAGCTGGCACATATTGCCCTCAGGCACTGCATGATGCTCAACCCAACCCAACCACTCACAATCCTATCTCCCCATTCGCACCCTCTGAAGCACCTCAATTGCTTCTAATGCAATCAAGGAGCAACAGCAGCAGCCTCCTCATCTACTAACAGTTCGGACATGTTAATCTGCTCAACGACTCAAGCACGTGCTCCCACCTATTTTCCTCTAAAGCATTGTCTGACTCGTGCTTAAGCGGCGATCCTTGGATTTAGCACCAGAAAGGCAGAAGGATTAGCAACCTGATTAGCCAACACCTTACCCACCACAGGATTTACATTTCTCTTTATTAGAAACGCCTAGGAGAACCGCATCGTAAAGCTGGCAATGGAAACTGGAGTTCCGGGAAGCTGTAGAAGAATGAGAACCATGCTGAGAATGAGCTTGAATCCATTCGCTCCCATCAAACAGAAGCTCAGACAGATTATCAGACTGGATTAACGTGACGTGGGGATAAAACACCACGGGGCACGGCCGCATCCATCAATATGCTTTTTGATCACCGCTTCCAAAATCATTTTGCCTTCGTTGCAATGCTGCAGGCATTTAAAGGTCACATCCTGCCCTTGGGAAAGAGAGCCGCCACAGATGGGGGGGGATCTGCACAGGGAACACAGTCTTGTTTGTTTTTTTTAATGCTTTCAACCTATTTTTCTTTCAGCATTTAGCTATTTGAGAAGAGCTGTGCATGGTGAGACTGCTAATGCTCCATCACTTTGAGCCTGGAGCTGCAATGGCCAAGACCTGAGCAGCGATGCTCTTCTTGCATAGAAACCAGTGTGGGCCGTCCCAGACGAACTGAGTGAGAAGGTCAGAATTTTGGACTGTGAAAAAGTTAGGTAATAAATACTGATTCATGGCATACTGACCTAAAAAGCTTACACCAGCTCACCACGCCTGTCCTTTGCTTATGTATTAGGAATTCTTGCATTGTGTAACACGGTTTTGCAACAGCTCTTGACTGAGTGCCCACTTAAATGGAAAACACACCTTTTTTTAAGCAAATAAACAAAAGTCAAAGTACTATTCAGATGGATTCATTGAGGAACACCAGCAGGAAAAATCCCTCAGAACTGGTCTTCAGCATCATACAAAGAACATAAAATCTACAAGAAACGGTGCAAGAATGAACGTGTTGAAAAACTCTTGTGTATCTGTGGAATAGTGCCAAGGGGGGGATAAAAGCAGACCAAAATGGACACCTGTGTGCATCCAGTTTACCATTACATATGCACTCAATGCTCATCCCAGAGCACTGCTCTTTGGGATTACTGAGCAGTGAGCTGAGAGGTGCAGTTCCCTTTCCTCCAACAACAACTTCTAGGCCCAATTTTATCTTGGATTTGAACCACCAGCAGGCACCAGCTCCTACAGGGGAGCCCAAACTGCCCTGCAAATTGCAGCACTACCAACCTAGCACGAACTAATGCTCATTCCTCATCAACAATGTGGCAGCATGCAACCATCAGCAGCCACCAGAGAAAAAAGCAGAGAACTTCGAGACTTCTGCAGGAGATGCATTTCTCTTCTCCTAATGCATTTGTCAGCTCTGGTGATAGCTCAGGGTTTAGCAGAAGAGACTGTTTGAAGAGTGGAGCGGGTTGCACTCAACATCCTCTGCATTCTGACTTATAGGGCAGGTCAGAAAATCATAGAGTGGTGTGAGTTGGAAGGGACCCTTAAAGGCCATCTGGTCCAAACAGCCCTGCAGCAAACAGGGACACCCAGGGCTCCATCAGGAGCTCAGAAGTAACCCCAACCTGTCCCCTGACCTCGGGTGTCTGCAGGGATGGGCACCACCACCTCTCTGGGCAGCCTATGCCATTGCCTTACCACCCTTATTGTGAACAACTCCTTCCTTATATTCAATCCGTATCTTCCCTTTCATTCCCTATTTCAACTGATCCCTAAAACATAGATTTCTCTCTTAAAACACACTTCTTAGGGATAACCACTGTTGAATCCATGCTACCATTCTTCCACAGTTTCGTGCATCTCTTTTGTATTCTAAGCCAAACCCTTCTGCAGTTAGGTTCCTAGTAGACTCACTTTATCACTTTGTGGGTTTTTTGGTAGGTTGGTTGGATGTTCTATTTTAAAAATCAAGAGTTGGCTTGAATAAAGCTCTAGTTCCCAAATACCTTCAGGCTTCAGTGTTCAGATCTCTGCAGCCTGCTCTCTGCCTATTTATATGCTGTGATTACTTGTTTTGTATCGTTTTTATTGAACTATTGCACAATGCCCCAAATGCCCACAAGCGTGGTTAAGAAACTTTCATTAATGCCATTAATAAGATGATTGTTGTGCATTCACTTAATGACCAAAAACTGCCTAAGAAAACATAAATAGGTTACAGCATGAAAAATTCCCAAGGCAACTACATTTTCAAGGACTTCAAAAGGTGTGCTGGCTGCCAGCCTCTGACCAAAAAGGAAAAACCTCTGCCAACTGCCATTAATGGCACTAATATCAGTAAACAAACTGCTGAAAGGAAAGGCTGAATCCCAAGTCATGGAAAAAAGCACATGAGGCTGTAAACAACTGAAGGAACGTGGTTTCACACGGAGGAGCCAAAAAGCATGCTAAGATCTAGGTTTTCGTTTCACAGCTGCAATGATGCTGTAATGCTGATACTTGCTGCTTTTGGTAGTGTTTGGAGCTAAGCTGAAAAGATGCTTTGGAGATAGAGATCTAGCAGATGTCACCTCTCCCCTTCAGCTGTGAGAGCTGCATCTGCTCACACAGGTGGACCCACGTCTCATGAGAGGCTCTGCGTATGAAGTTGTAGCAGTAGATCTTCTCCCCATTCAGTTTTCCTGAGTTTTCAAGGGGAACCCATCACCCAGGCAACTGATGAGTTTCAGCTCTAACTGAATGAGATATGAGAAAACCTCAAAGTTTCACACTTGTCCATAACACAACTCACCTGCGGGCAACTACCAGCCAATTTCTGCCTTGCACAAACCCCTGGCTGTAATCAACCCAGACATCTTCATGTTCTTTTTTTAAGTCAAAAAGCTCAGATTCAGCCTGAAACGAAGACTTCAGTTTCTTTAAAACCTTAATTCCCCTAAAGATCAACAAACTTCCTATGAAACAAAAGTCATCTAGGCAACTACCCAGGAACAACACGTATATTGCAAAGGCTGCTGCACAGGGTGCTTCCATGCAGGCTGCAGGGAGGGTGGAGCACCTCCTCCCACTTCACCCTTAAAGGTGCTTCAATGGACAAGCACTACCCTCCATCTTTCCTGGGGAGCCAAATTTGGGCTTGCTCCATGAGCAGTGGGAGGACTCCATGTTCAAGGCCAGGTTGGATGGGGCTTTGGGCAACCTGGTCTGGTGGGAGGTTTGTCCTTACCTACAGCAGAGGATTAGAACTGGATGACTGTTAAGGTCCCTTTCAAACCAAACACTCCTATGGTTCTTTGACAATCACTCCATCCACCAGACCCATTGATAGCACCCTGAATATTGAGATCTTGGGGTCCAGGGATCCAAAAGCAAAGCCTTGGTCTCCCTATGGCCCCAGCAGAGCTCCAGCACTCATGGGGACAGCAGAACCGGTGACTACTGACACAAACCACAGGATCGTAAAGTTTGACTTGGAAAACTTCCACCCTCCCAGCAGCACTGCAGCCACCAGTGTCTGCACAACTGCCATTAATACCATATAGGAAAACA